CTAATCATTTCAGTGTGCCTGGGACAGAGGGTTCAGGGGACTTCGGTGGAGAAATGAGGAAGCAAGCGTAGCACTTTATTTGTGGTGAACGTCAAAAAGACATCGAGTGGACAGCAAAGATGAAAATCAGTACCTCACCAGGCATCAGAAGACCCAAAACAAACAACCATCCCCATGCAAATGAGGGGAGTCGGAATGGAGACCCAAAGCCCATCTGTAGACAGCTGGACATCCCCTCACAGAGGAGTCACAAGGAAGGGACAAGCCAGTCAGGGTGCAGCACAGCACCGATGGAACACTCAACATTCCTCTAGTTCTGTAATGCTTCCTCCCCCGACTCCCAACACTATCATGGGCCCAGCTCTTCCCTACAAATCTGGTAAAACCAGAACATGTACACTGGTACAGAGAAGAGCCCTCAACACATGGAATCCAGGACAGATAAACCCCTCAGGAATAATAATGGGAGTGGGGATACAATGAGGGTAGGGGGAAGGTAGGGGGAGATGGAGGAGAAAGTGGGGACTGATCGTGCATAGGGAGAAATGATCTACATATAACTGTTCATCCCAGGGGGATGAACAGCAAAAACATGGGTGAAGTGAGACAGCAAACAGTGTAAGATATGAGAAGAAGAATTTATAATTTATCAAGGGGTCATGAGGGTGGGAGGTGGGGAGGCAGGGTAAAAAGAGGAGTTGATACCAAGGCCTCAAGTAGAATGTAAATGCTTAGAAAATAATGATGGCAACATATGTATAAATATGCTTGGTACAACTGATGTATGGATTGTCATAAGAGCTCTAAGAGCCTCCAATAAAATTATGTATTAAACATTTTTAAAATAATAAAAAATAAAAATGATTTGAAAGCCAAAAAGAAAAAGGAAAAGAAAGTCAGCATCCAAAATTGTGTAGGGCTCACCAGATACAGGCTTTCCCTGCCCACATAGATACCCATGTGCCGAATATTTTGGGCTCCTTTCATGTTTATCAGCACTGCACACTCTCCCTAGCCATGCCCACCAAGAGTGCCCCTGCCCTTACCAGTTAGTGACAAGGACACAAACGAGTGGCTGGACCAAGCGCTCCACCAGCCCAGCACTTGGGCTCCTGGTGCCCGGGGTGATGTGCACGCTCCCTCGAGTCCAGTGCCCTGTCTGTCTTACCACTTCCTCTGTCTGAATCAGACCGCCAACTGCAGAGTTCACAGGGCAATGTTGAAGCCCGTAGGTCAATGTTCAAAACATTCCCCTCCAAGGTAACAACCACAAGCTGATCCTCACGCTGAAGTAAAGAAAACACCCTCTTGTCCCTCTGTGTCTTCCCTCCATCTTCCTTTTGCCACATCACAACATGGAGACAACGAATTCTACAGTTCCATTTATCTATTTGTATCAAATCGATGCATTTTCATGAAGCAAACACCATCACGCCCAACAGGTGTGCCCTGCAGATCTCCACACTGTGACCCCTGCCCTCCTGATCCCCGAGACTCCTCAGTGATCTGTGCATTTGATAGTGTCCACAGTGAAGCAGCAGAGAAACACTGTGTCACGAACATACTGGGTTTCTGACCCTAATTTGATCACTGGGGCAATGAAAGGACCACATCATGCTTCTCAAGTTTCAGAAAAATTCAGGCCCTGGCATCAGTTGCTCTTGGTTCAGTCATGACCGACAAAGGGACCTAAGAAGGAACAGCAGCTTTTAATATGATGGTGAACATGTAGGACACCCACAGAGTGAGAGAATGTGAAAGAGAATAGGAAAACTTAAAGGTCAAAACCTGAATGGAAACACCATTTCCCTTCTTAGAAAATAAGGCAGCACACACGGTACTGACTTTTCACAGCCATCTAGTTGATGACAGCTCATAGAGAGCCTACAGGGCAGGGTAGAACTGCCCGCATGTGTTTCTGAGACTCTTAACTGTTTACAGGAGTAGCAAGCCTCGTGTTTATCCTACAGAGGCGCTGGTGGTTTCGAACTGCTGACCTTATGGGTCACAGCCCTACGTGTAACCACTCCGCCACCAGGGCTCCTCTGCACATTGCTTAGCAACCCCAATATATTTACCAGTTGAGTCTAAAACAATGGTGCTCTGCTCACAAATGGCACCGCTTTCCATGTGTGTTGATCTCTCCACAGTTCAGTCAGTTTTCCAGTCTTCCTTCTGCTCCAGCCCCTCATTTTCCCATTCTGGTTAGTGGTCCAGATCACCGAAATTTTAAAATTTCTGTTCTGTTCCAGCCATGCCTGGACCAGTTTGAACCAGTATGAAACTCTGATTTAGTCAGACAAAGGTTTACAGTAGATCCGTTATTTGGAAATTGGGTACCGAATCCCACGAAACACTTAAAACTTTATAAAACACCATCCCTGTCTTAGGAATAGCAGGGCAAAGAACCACGAGGATAAATAAATTACAAAGGGGGGGCGGGGAACAGCAGAGAAGATGGTGGCAGCATGTCTATTTGCAGAGAGAGAGCAGCACACACAGGACAAACTTCAGAGGCAGGGCATCTGCGCACCTCTGGGATCATGCACAGGGAGGGGTAGAGTCAAATGTGAAAGAAGCGATGTTTGAGTAAGGTAGCCATTGATTGGGAAGACAGGAGTGTAGTCAATGACGGTTGTAGTTTTAGTCAAAGGCTGTATTTCTAGCTCAAGATTATATTTTTAGTCAGTATTGGAGGAGTAAGTAAAGTAGAAAATGTGAACTGAAAATGAGTCTGGGGTCAGAATCTAGACATGTTTGACACGGGGCTAATGAGTTTTAACTTCATCCTAGGGGCAGTGGGCAGCTAAAGTGTTTTCAAACAGGAAGATGGCCAGCCAGGCCAGGTTTTGGAAGCAGGACCAGGAAAACTGGGTGGGTTAGAGAGATGCCTGAAAGCAGACCGATATATGAGCGGACTGCAAAGTGCTACAAAAACCCAGAAGGCAAAATGCAGTGCCTCCCAAGAAGAAAGGATGGATGGGAAATATACTCTCCTGAGTGAGCCCACACATGGGTGTGTGCACCGTGAGTGTGTGTTTTCTTGGTAACATTGACTGCAAGAGAAAAGTAAAGATGGATATATCCATCATTCAACAGACACATGTTGTGTCTATAGTGCACCAGACACTCACACTATAGACATTGATGGCTTGGTTCTTCCTTCTCTTGAGAAGATAAACGTCAGTTGAAAAGCAAGTACAGGGAGTAATTACAGCACAATATAATTATAGCTACGACGTTCAACCAAACCCACTACCACCAGGTCAGTTCCAACTCATACCGAACCTTTATAAGGTTTCTGAGACTGTAAATCTTTATGGGAGCAGACAGCCTCGTCTTTCTCCTGAGGAGGGGCTGTTGGCTTTGAACCACTAACTTTGGAGTTAGCAGCCCAATGAAGACCCAACAATCCGACAAATGCTTAGAAAAGAGGGTGGACCAACATGGATGGGAATGAGTCCCAATCATACAACCATTGACTACTCAGCTATTATTTTTTCAACTATTTTAAAATCATTTTATTGGGAGCCCTTACAACTCATAACAACCCATACATCCATCGTGTCAAGCACGTTTGTACATATGTTGCCATCATCTCTTTTTCTCCTTTTCTTGTCATTTATTGGGGGCTCTGAGAGTTCTTATCACAATCCATACATCCTTTGTGTCAAGCACATTTGTACATATGTTTCCATCATCATTTTAAAAACCATTTCTTTCTACTTGAGTCTTTAGTATCTTCCCCCCACCCTCCCTCATGAAGCCTTAATAATTTATCCTTTTAATTTTCATGTCTTACACGGACCACTGTGAGTACCCAGCTAGTAATGGAAAATACTGAGATTCAAACCCACCAGTAGATGCTAGAGAGAAAGCTGCAGCCATCTGTTTCCATAAGGCTTACAGCCTTGGAAATATAATGGGGAAGTTCTATCCCAAATGTGCCCCCCAAATTAAAAACAGAAAATGCAAAATGAATTTTGAAACTCATAAGACGGAGAACTGCCCACCAGGTCTGTAGGCTGTGATGCTGCAGGCAGTGTTTCTCAAAGTGGGAATGCCATCCCCTGAGCGTCCTGAACCCACTCCGGGGGGGTTCAAAGCAGATACCCACACCTTCTCCTGGCTTATGGACTAGAATGTAACAGTTGTGCATTGCCAGAAGCAGGGGGAGTGCTGAGTAAATCTTTTTCTGAAAAAGAGGCGGTAGGCCAAGAAAGTGTGGGAAGCTCTAGACTATGGGAACAGAAGACTGCCACAGCTTTGCCCTGCTGCGCTGTCGGTAGTGAAAGTTCAAACTCCCAACTGTTCAGTTAGCAGCTGAGAGTCAACCACTGCAGCCTGAGAAAGGGCAAATGATGATCTATCCTCCTAAAGTAGCTCCCCTGTGCCCCTCAATCATTTTTAAGATGAGCACCTTGATTGCTTGTTTCAGAGCATAGACAACAATGGGAAATATATCTTGTTCATAATATCCAAGTGGGCTTCAGAAAGTTGGTGAGAAAATGGAATTAAAAGATAGTGGAATTTTTTGGATGAACTTTTTGAAACCTCCTGGTACATCTGATGAATGGATAAATCCAGGTATTATTGCCTTAAGCCTTGTTCTTCCTTTTTCCCAAGAATCAGACAATCAATCAAATCTCTCTCTCTCTTTCTCACACACACACACACACACACACACACACACACACACACACCCTACTCTATCACTCCCCAGCTGTCTTCTAGATGGAGGAAAATAGTTAGGAAGAAAGGCAGACCTGAGATATGGGACAACATAGCAGCAGCCTACCAGCTCCCAATAATTCTTAAAAGAACAATACTAGCTTTCTCTCTTCTCCCGTTAATTGCAGCCACTTCTCCTTCGTGAGGGAATTGTACTCAAAGCAAACATACATGAGTCTGGAGACAGCTTGACACACTATCGAGTTATTAATAGAGATCCTCTCACATCAAGTTTCTCAAGGTGAAGGGAGTCAGAGAAGCCGCGATACTCACCTTTTACAGTAAACAGCAGTGGTGACAGCAAGGGGGGTAGCCAACAGCAACAGGACAACTGCCCCTCCGGCCAAGAAGTGGATGTGTTGGTTATTGGTTTGACCTACAAGAAGGAAAAGAAAAAACGGGAATTAGAAGCCCAATTCCCACGGGACAAAGGAGGTCAGGATATTGCAAGCATAGTCAGCATGGAGCCACATGTAACTTGGGTGCTTATGACTAGACATCATGTTGAAGAAGTCCTTTTGCTTGATTTGAGTCTATGTTAAACATAGTCATAATAACTCTGATCAAATGGAGTTGGGGTCCAGGATCAGAAGTCATAGTACTACTAGTCACTCCATCGTGGTCCCTCGCCAAACAGAATGGGGGTCTAGAATCTGAGGTTTTCACCCCGCTTCTTTCACAATTGGTTGGCTTGACCTCCACCCAAGTCCCTTCTCAGCATCCGTATCTTCTGCTGACGAGGAGCCATGCCCTTGGTTGTAATTGCATAACACAATGGTGGCAGGCAGCATCACTAAAGGACCAGCAGGTACCAGGGAGGCTTCACCTGGAGGAGAATCCCAGCCAGCTGGGAGACAGCTCCAACCTCGTGTCTCCCACCATAAAGGGAGCCCACAGTCTGGCGAACCCTCAGAAACAGTTCTCCTCTGACTCATAAGGTTGCTATGAGTTGGAGTCAAGTCCACACCCTTGGGTTTGGGTCACCTGCACCACCTGCCTGCTCCTACCAACAGAGGGCCTGAGGCGGTGCTTTCCATGAAGAAGGAACTCTCAATGGGACCGTGAAGAACAACACATGGATCTGAGCTATTGGGAACGGAAGTAAATGGAACCTCAAGAATGATGTGTATCACCAGCTCCCTTTGGGGCCCGCCAGCTGTCTGTCACTGGGTGTCACCGGGGAGGCTTGCATGCATCAATGAGGCTGCACCAACAGTATTTTCAATACCAGCAAGCTCACCGAGGGTGGGCAGTGTCAGCAAAGCTCCCAGATTTGGAAGACTCGGAAGAAAACCTGGCAATCTATTTCTGAAAAGAACCCAGTGAGAACCTGATACATCCCCGATGGAAGACCGGTCAATGTTGGGCCGGAAAACAAGCCTCCCAGGTGGGACCGATGGGGCCCGGGGGAATAAGGGGTGTGCGAGTTGGGCTACCAACCACAAGGTCGGCAGTCTGGAACCACAAGTTTCCCCAAAGAGGAAGATGAATCGTTCTTCTCCCGTGAAGAGTTATGGTCTCTGTCCTCCTCTGTCCTGCAGTGTCGCTGTGTGCTGGAAAGGTCTCATTGGCAGTGAGCTTAGAGACTGGCAGGCACTCAAAACACGCATAGCTCTACAACCAGGGGCTTGAACACCCCAACAATTATCAACATGGTGCAGGATGCCAAGCATAGAGTCGATGGGAGGGAGCAGGCTTGATGGCAACAAGCAAGCAAAACTCTTTATCAGGGCAGCAACTCCTGAGTCTTCTCCCCTGCCATGTGGGTAAAGCCTAGGCCCAAACAGCAAATGTCCCCTTTCTCATAACCGAGCTCACACAACTATATCCCCCTGTTGTTTGCTCCCATTCCGTCTTCCTTCCTAATCTATTATTTACTGCACTTCTTTTTTTCCTCCTCCTAAGATTTCAAAGTCTACCCCCCTTTCTTTTGTGAGACATTAAGAAGGCAAAAGGAACATCATCTTTATTTGTCAAGTTGGCTTCACCTGCAAGGTGAATGAATGCAGGAAGTGTGGGGACGCTTCAAAGCCACCCTGCTTCGGGGCTAAGCAAGGCTTCTGTCAGAGTGGGCTGGGGACAGAGAGCTAAACAGTTCTCAACGGAAAGACAGATCAGTGACTCACGAGTGGAGAGAGAGCATTCCCCCCCTCCCCCCACTACATAAGAAACCCACCCTGTAAAAAAAGTTCCGGTCACAGAATAAAAATTAAATAAGCAGAACATGAAAAGTGATTTGCATTAATGTGCATACGTATGAAATGACCTCATTTGCTATACCCAAGGAGCCCTGGTGGCATAGGGGTTAAGGGCTGGGCTGAGATCCAGGAGATCGACAGTTCAAAACCACCAGCAGCTCCACAGGAGAAAGATGGGCTTTCTACTCTCCTAAAGAGTGCAGCCTCACTCTGTGGCTTGGGACTAGTTTTCAGCAAGACGGCCAAACGCACCAAGATCGTGGGCAAATATGGGACCCGTTCCGGTGCCTCCCTCAGGAAAATGGTGAAAAAAATTGAAATCAGTCAGCATGCTAAGTACACTTGCAAAACCAAAATGAAGAGACGCACGGGGGGCATCTGTCACTGTGGTTCCTGCATGAGAACAGTGGCTGGTGGGGCCGGACCTACAACACCCCTCTGCTGTCACAGTAGAGTCCGCCATCAGAAGACTGCAGGAATTGAAAGACCAGTAGAAGCGCCACTATCTGAAACCTCTCTGGCCTGTAATAAGTGGGTTAATTTATCTAGCAAAAAAAAAAAATGCAGCCTCGGAAACTCCCAGGGGAGGTTCCACCCTGTCCTGTAGGATTGCTCCGAGTCGACATTGACTCCAGCAGAGAGAAGGGGCGCGCTGGGTTGTATACAGAGCTGTTGACTCAAAGGGTGGAGCTTGAATCCACCCAAAGGTGGCACAAAAGAAAGGCCTGGAAACCTACTTGTGGAAACACAGCCACAGAAACCGCCTTTGGACCCAGCTGTGCCCTGACACCCAGGGGGACCCCGGGAGTCAGAGTGCAGTCCCTGTCACAGCAGCTGGGAAAAGAATGCACTCTCGTCCGGGCAAGTCACAGGCCAGTGCAGGGAGAGAAGCACATGTCTCGGAGCCCAGCTCTGTCAAGAGGGTGTGAGTGTGGGTGTGGGTGTGGGTGTTAGGTGCTGGGAAGTTGGTTCCGATTTACAGCCAGAATGAAACACCACCCGATCCTGCGCCACTCTCACGATTGTTCTTACAGCTGAGGCCATGGTTGCAGCCACTGTGTCCATCCGTCGTGTCCAGGGCCTTCCTCTGCTTCACTGCCCCTCTGCTGTCCCAAGCATCATGTCCTTTGCCAGGGACTGGTCCCTCCTGAGAACACGGCCAAAGCATGTGAGGCGAAGTCTCTCCATGTCTGTCTGTGAGGAGCATCTACGCTGTATTCCTCTGACACAGATGCACCGGTTCTTTTGGCAGCCCGTGGTCCTTTCCATATTCTCCACCAGCACCATGATTCAGATGCACCAATCCTTCCTCGGTCTTCCTTCCTCAAGATCCTTCCTTCCTCGTGCGTATGTGAAGACTGCAAAGGTCCTAGCATGGGCCCGGTGCACCTGAGTCCTCCAAGGAGCATCCTTTTTAGTCCACACTTTAAAAAAGTCTTGTGCCATCGGGTTTAGCCACAACCTTCCTTCTTTGGATTTCTAGACGGCTGCCTCCATGAGCGTGGACTGTGGATCCAAGCAAGATGAGATCCTGGACCGCGTCCATCTTTTCTCCATTGATCATGATGTTGCCTATTGGTTCTTTTGTGAGAACGTTGGTTTTTTCCACATTGAGTTGTAGTGCTGGTTGAAAGCTTCAATCCTTGCTCTTCATCAGCAATTGCTTCAAATCCCCCTCCTTTCAACAAGTAAGGTTGTGTCATCTGTATATCAAAGGTTAGTACCTTTAACTTAATCCTTACTATTAACATTGAGTCATATGAAATGATCGGAAAGCCATAAACAACTTCCTAACAGAAACCACAATACATTTATATGAATTGAAGCATATAATGAAGTGATGATCTAAGCAATATTGAAACCATACCCCCTCCCATGGAGTCAATTCCAATGGGGGGAGACCCGGTAGGACTGAGGCGAACTGTTCCCCAGGCTTGCTGAGGCTGCTAATCTTCACAGACGCAGGTGAGCTCATCTTTCTCCTTGTAGCAAATTGTGGCTTTGAACCACCCACCTTTCCTTTGGGTTAACAGCTGAACATGCACCCAAAGCTCTTAGGGGAGTAAATGCTGCTACAAGCCATGTCAGGGAGACGGCCTTCTCTGTGGCTCATGCCTCTGACTAGGTATCTTTGCACCTTAGCTGGATCACCTGGAGTTCAGTTGAACCTTGAACAACAAGGGTTTGAACGGTGTGGGCCCACATCCACATAGCATTTCCCCCCCTGTTGCTGTTGCCCTGGGCTCAAGCCTGGTTCGTATCCCTTCAAACGGCTATGGGACCCTCAGCACCTCCCCCACAGCACTTCATCTCTTCAGTGAGGGGGACAGCAGGGCGCGGGCTAGCAGTTACAGGAGACAGAACTTGAACAGCAAGATTCACAAATTGCAGAGGCCTGGACCGCCTCCTTCAAGGAACCATTGGCGAGGGAAAGCCTGCAAGGCCAGATTGGGACATGTTTACGCGAGGACCTCCAGAAAGCAGAATGTGAAGGGGTTGTCTTCTTCTGGTCGGTATTATTTCAGTGTTGGTTTCCAGGCTTCCTCGGGGAGGACGGGGAGTTTGACAGATGAAATGGGGCGGTGGGGGTGCTGGGACAAAAATGTGAAGTCTGCAGGCTGAGACTATTCTCTAGCAAATGGTGGTGGTTCTGTTTGAAAGGGCAGGGTGTACAGCTTCGTTTTAGGAGAACACTCAGAATCCTTAACAACTCAGCCCCATCCTTCATTAAGCTCGACAGCACATGAATGTGGAAGTAGAATCTTCTGAAAAGCATAGTCATTTGTGTCACAGTGGGTAATTATAAATCCACATCACAAATGCCATTCTTTGATATGAAATATGTTCACCTCCTTTTATCCCCTTCCTATAATGTTTGACCTTTCGGCGTTAGATCCACTTACCCATCCATTACTTTAACACAGAGCCTTCCAGCGCGTGCTGTGTCTCCGTCACGGTACAAAAGGGGCTGGGCAAAATCAAACTCGCTGCCTGGCTCACTGCCTACAAACTCTTTGGAAAAGTTCTGGATAATTTTTCAATGCCCAGGGAACAAGTGTTGCCCATAAGAGTCAGAGTGGAAGTGGGATATCAGTTACACTCCAGAGACTGTACAATCTAAAATGTTCCAGCCTACAGCTCGTATGCCCCCCTCCCCTTCTCTCTCTGCTTCTCTGTC